GTAAACGGCGGGAGTAACTATGACTCTCTTAAGGTAGCCAAATGCCTCGTCATCTAATTAGTGACGCGCATGAATGGATTAACGAGATTCCCACTCTCCCTATCTACCATCCTGCGAAACCACAGCCAAGGGAACGGGCTTGGAAGAATCGGCGGGGAAAGAAGACCCTGTTGAGCTTGACTCTAGTTCGACTCTGTGAAATGACTAGAGAGGTGTAGAATGAGTGGCAGCCTTACGACGCAGGTGAAATACCACTACTTTTAACGTTATTTTACTTATTTCGTGAGGTGGAGCCGGGGCTCTGCCACTGCTTCTCGATCCAAGGTGCAGGACCTCGTGGCCTGTCCGATCCAAGCGAAAGACATTGTCAGGTGGTTTTACATCTTCGACGCACACGGGTCCTACCGGACCCGACTTAGGGTCGGAGGGACACATCAGGGCCTAAAGGCCCGACCTTGGGATAGTACAGGCCCTCAGGGCCTGATCTTGGACCAGTACCCAACGGGCAGGCCCAAACGGCATTATCGTTTGGGCCTGGCAGCGCTCTTTAGGCTGCCGCCCGCCGGTTGGGGCTGAACCGTCCATCTGGACGGCTTAGGGCATGGCCAGGCCTCGCAGCATTGAGGCCGGCCTCTGCCCCATCGGTATAAAGTACCGGTACAGCCTCACTTGGAGGCATCGACCTACCGGCACTATACCGGTACGGTATGGTCAGCGCCAGAGCGTTGTTTTGATGCGCTAAGTTTACCGCAGGAGCGAGCAAGGAGCAGCAGCGGCAGCGCAACATTAGCGCAGCAGCAAGCGGAGCAGCAGCAGGGCGACTGAGCCAGCACGGCGGCCATAGCCGCCTGAGGTACCTGGGAGCTGGAGGACCTCTCCTCCCTCCCTCGTCAGCTCTCTCTCTCCTCCTCCTTCTCCTCCTTCTTCTTCTTCTTCTTCTTCTTCTTCTTCTTCTTATTATTATTATTATTATTCTTATTCATCTTCTTCTTCTTCTTCAGACTAGAGACTTATGCTAGTTGGACAGAGATCAGAGTTGGATTTCGGTGATATGAGACTGTGGTACTTACCAGATTGGAGACTTGGAGATCGTTGGGGTTGATACTTGGCGACATCACAGTTCAGACACCGGTTACATTTGGACTCTGTATCCCCGACATTGGTGACCTATGGTCCTCGACATTTGATCTTGTTGGACGACATTTTGGACTACCATATCGGTGACCTATCAGATTCTACCTCGGTGACTTTCGGTGCTGACTACCTCCCCCCACCTCTTCGTCTCTCCTCCCCCATTCATCTGTATATGTGTGTACGGGGCTGAGCATCTTCTATGTATGGCTCAGACCCCACCATCTCACGATTGAATGTGTGTAGAGTGATCCTATGTGAGTCAGTCTAGGTGAGTCAGTCTGTTTATCAGACTTCCGTTGCATCTATACTCATCCTACATTGGTTGATTCTTGGTTCTGCCCATACTCATTGGAGTATGCAACAGGTGGGGAGTTTGGCTGGGGCTGCACATCTGTTAGAAGATAACGCAGGTGTCCTRAGATGAGCTCAACGAGAACAGAAATCTCGTGTGGAGCAAAAGGGCAAAAGCTCATTTGATTTTGATTTCCAGTACGAATACAAACTGTGAGAGCATGGCCTATCGATCCTTTAGCGTTTCAGGACTTGAAGCTAGAGGTGTCAGAAAAGTTACCACAGGGATAACAGGCTTGTGGCAGCCAAGCGTTCATAGCGACGTTGCTTTTTGATCCTTCGATGTCGGCTCTTCCTATCATTGTGAAGCAGAATTCACCAAGTGTTGGATTGTTCACCCACCAACAGGGAACATGAGCTGGGTTTACACCGTCATGAGACAGGTTCGTTTTACCCTACTGATGCACAGCCGTCGCAATGGTAATCCAACCCAGTACGAGAGGAACCGTTGGTTCGCACAATTGGCAATTGTGCTTGGCWGAAAAGCCAGCGGTGCAAAGCTACCGTGCGTGGGATTATGACTGAACGCCTCTAAGTCAGAATCTGTGCTTGCAGCGACGGCGTATGCCTCCTCGGATGACACAAGGCTGTCGATAGGGCCAGCCGGTCT